TTATGGGGTCATTTAAAGTCTGTTGTATTTACCCCTCAACCTCAAAATTTAGAAGAACTTCGTCAGAGAATTACTGCAGCTTGCCGTGGAATTCAAAGGGAAGTTTTTGAAAATGTGCGCCGTAGTTTTGAACAACGGTTGTACCATTGTTTAGCTAATAACGGACAACACTTTGAACAATTATTAAGTTGATTTTCTCTGCAAAAAGTTTTTGTACATAATTAAATAACTGAAAATAAAATAGAACGTTTCAAGCAGTTAAAAGTTGTTTAAGTAATAACCAAATAAACCTAAAAGAAAAGAAAAATGAAACAGAAATCGTTTTTTCTAAATATCTCTGACAGACGCCAGGCAAGCTAGCCAACGTAGGTATATCATTGTCAAAATCGAGCAATTTAAATAAAATAAATACTAACATGTAGCATAGTTTCCGATATTTCTGGTGGTTTTTATGACTTAATTGCAGTCATATAACGAACAAAGATGGGGTTGTATACAGGTAGTTTACGAACCCCAAACTCTGGCGTGAGTTGTTCAGGTCCACATTAACGACAATTTCAATAACATAATATTTAAAAACTTAAATATCATTACTTTGTGTGAAAATACAACAATTTATTTAAATCTATCTAAGAAGTACATTTGCTTTAATAATTTATGATTATTATTATAAAATTTATTATCTTTTTACACTAACTAATTCTAAGTTAATTATAAAAAATATGTTTTAATTTTTATATTATAAACTAATACTTGCTTTTTTTTGTAAAATCATTTAAGTATAAGTAAATTTATATTCTTTACTACATTTCTGTTTTATTTTGTTGAATTTAAAATAAAATAAAAAAGAAGTGCGTCCCTGGGCCTAGTTCCCTAGGAGGACCTATCATAAATCATGTCCAGGTACTTTTTCCGGGTGATAATTACTGCCACTACTGTTTCTGAGGGTCATAAAAACCACCAGAAATATCGGAGACTATAAGTTACGTTAAATCATCTTAATTTATTGTCCTCTACATGTCCCTGCTCTGTGTCGGTTCTTATGTGAATCACCCTGTATATTTGACTTTGCAAACAATAAGAAATAATAAACATAACTAATTTTCAAGATTAGCCATTAATTTAACATTTAGAATGAAGCGGTGTATTAACAGGTATCGCGCCTGTACTGTTTTTGGATGTACAGACACAACCTCCAGTCGTCACCGTTTTTTTCATCCACAAAAGAAAGAGAATCTGTGTAAGGAGTGGATTTTAAAATGTGGAAATTCAAAACTTACAGATCATTCACAGGATATAATTTATAGATCGCACCGTGTTTGTCATAGACATTTCCAAAGCAGTGATAGAGCAACAAATGCATACTTAAAACCTGCCAGGGTACTCTACAATTGTATGTATTTTAGTCAGTGTTGTTAAATACCCGGGTATTTATTTTCAAGGGAAAATACTCTGGATATAGACCCGGGGGTATTTACCCAAGATGGGTATTTAGAAGTATTTATAAAATTTGATTTAAATTGAGTTGATGGCAGTTTTGCAAGTACTTCAAGAATGCAGAGTCGATTATCTATACACCAAACTTATTTATAACATTTACAAGATAAAGAAATAAGTATTATATTCCTCGTCTTCAACGTCTATTTCATCACCTTCCTCTATATTTTTTTCGGAATCTGTAAAATTTTTAGTTGTATCACTTTTATGTACATTTTGGGTATTTACCCTGGGCCGGGGTAAATCTCTTCTAAATACTATTTGCCTAGGAAAGTAGAATTTAGACTGAAATAAATGGAATAAAACTATTGACCTATTGACTAGGAAAAAGCTATTTACCTGAAACAACCATTTGCCTGCGACATATATTCAAACTTCGACGTTCGAGTTTTCGTGATGTTAATGCCCTCAGGGCGATGTCTTTGTTAATTTTTGTCCACACATTTTTGTCGCGAGTTGAGGTACGGGTTTTGGTGTAGTGTTTGCAGTGGACACCACGATGCGCCAGATTGCTTGGCGGAGCGTTTCTCATATTTCTTCCTTCTCTTGCGTCGGCTTTCGACTTTCTGGACTCTCCGTCATCAGCGCCGCTAGAATATAACATCACGGTTTCCATTAACTCCACGAGTGTACCATCCGTTCTTTCGGATGTAACTGATTGTCGAGGGAAGGGATTGTTTGCATCAGGCTGTAAACAGTTTGGTTCAACGCCAAGTCGCCTGAATAAGTGGTCTTCTTTTGAATGTTTGACGCTATTAACGCAAAATAAACTCGGAGCGATAAAAATCGCTGTTATAACTATTCTGCGAGGTTGTTACTGTTTAAAAATGGAGAATTTATAGCAAAACACAGCGCAGGCTACTTTTAAAGAACCCGGGCTACGGGACGATATTTGGAACCGTTTTCATATTAGACAGCGGGGGTTATTTTTAGACGGACTGTAAATTAATTTTAAAAATATTATCCAAAATTTTTTAAGGTGTAATCGATGTATTAACAATGGAAAAATTAACGTGGGAACAAGGAAAAATGCGAAGAAGTGTGATTGGAAATGATTGCCCAAAAACGTTACAAAGTGTTAAAGAAGCTAGAGCTAAAGTTGTTGATACCGTTTCAGGGTGTGATGATGAATTAGCTTCAAAAATTATTGAAAGTGAAAGTTTGGACAATGCTCCTACACCACTGGTTGTTAATGCAATAAGAAGAGCTACAATTTCTGAGGTCTGAATTATTTAAAATCACCCCAAAAACATTATTTAATACAAACATTTTTGTTATAGAAAATTATACCAGTTTTCTGTGGAAGTGCCTACAAAAACATCGGCATTGAACCACTTTTAGATGCGGTAATAATGTACCTTCCATCTCCAAAAGAAACCAAACAATACTTTCAACACTTTGGTGAAAATCTTTGCGCGAGAGCTTTTAAAATAGTTCACGATAAACAACGCGGACCGGTAACTTTTTTTAGGATTTATTCTGGTAATTTTAGTAAAGGTCAAAAAACATATAACATTCAAAAAAATCTCACGGAACAAACCGGTAAAGTTATGGTGACCTTTGCGGATGAATATAAAGAGGTGGAATCATTGGGTGTGGGAAATATCGCTGCTATAACCGGATTAAAACATTCAACAACTGGGGATATGATTACAAGTTCAGCGACAGCAGCACAAGCGGCGAAAAAATTAATGGGATCGAAAGATGGTTCGGTAGACATCAATGATATGTTTAGTAAAGGACCAAAAGTTCCTGAAGCTGTGTTTTTCTGTTCGGTTGAACCGCCCTCTTTATCGCAACAGGCGGCTTTAGAAACTGCTTTAACTCAATTACAACGTGAAGATCCTAGTTTAAGGGTTAACCATGATCCAGATACTAATCAAATTATTCTTGGAGGTAGTTTACTATTTTTTTCATAATAAAATAACGTAATAGTATCAATTAATTTGAATAGATGGTTTTAAATAGGAATGGGAGAGTTGCATTTGGAAATAATCAAGGATAGGCTTTTAAAAGAGTATAAAGTTGAAGCGACATTAGGAAAGTTACAAATTTCTTATCGTGAAGCTCCGTTAGATAAAGCAACATGTGACATTACGACCGAAACGAAAATTGGAAATAATAAACATTTCGTTTCGATTTCTTTGTCTATTATTCCGAAACAAAACGAGGATGATGAAAAAGTTATTTTAATCCTGGATAGAACTTCAGAAGCTGCAAGTAACATTGCGTGTATTCTCCCGAAACATTTAGTTGCTGTTCGACATGGAATAATTGTTGGATTGATGCATGGACCCAAAATTGGATATCAGGTAATAAAATTGTTAATGGATTAATGAAATTAATTCTTAAAAAAATGAAATTTAACGTCTTTTTTAATCAAGGTTATGAATTGCCAAATAATGTTACATATGTTGAATGTTGTAAAAGGAACAACAGATTTTGCAATTGAAGCAACTGCCACCCAATGTGTTCAAAAGGTAAATGTTTTTTAATTACTTTAAGATTTGAAGTTTAAGATATATATAGTGATAAAGTCTTAAAAGGCTTTATCACTTCGAACTTGTTTCTGAAGAAGGTTGCAAGAAAGAGGCACAGCTTAACCTGAAAGTTTCTATATGCCATCAGTTGTAAACATCAAGAACTTGCTATCGTCGCACCAGATGACCAGGTCCGACTGCTGTCGGGTGGAGTTGAGATTAATTTTCGCCCACTCTACCAGCAGCAGCATTTAGCCTTTTTTTGATCGTTGCCACAGATGGCTGGCGCTACCCCGCTTGCCACAATTCACGTCCAATGTCCACTGCGCTGAGCCTGGGATTGCTCCTGCTCAGCCGTACGGCATTGCTATCCTCGAGGCGAGTGGTAACTTTTTATTTTCCTGGACGTTTCTTCGTCACAAAGCCTCCCTGAATTTGCCAGTTTTTAAGAACTCTGGATACAGCAGACTGTATATTCAGCCAGCTGCGTCTGCGTGATCTTCTGACGATGGCCTTCCACAAGACCATACAAAGTTTTTATATAAAAACCTTGGTAATCATATACAGGGTGATTCACATAAGAACCGACACAGAACAGGGACATGTAGAGGACAATAAATTAAGACGATTTAACACAACTTATCTCTATACTAAGTTGTACTCCTG